TGTACTTGGGGGGGGGGGCATCTGTGGCAATGTTCGGCCAACCTGGTCCTTCGACATCAAACACCGTCATACCTTCACCGATGCAATTGCATAATTATTCACCTATCCAAGATGATGTTCAAGCATCACTGTCTCAACCTATGGTAAATCATCTTGAAAATCTTGAAAATATTGTGAATAACGAATTATCTGTGTATGATGTGTATGCGGAAACAAATGATGAGGCCGAGAGCGGAGAGGATGAAGATGAACTTGACAACATGGATGTTGAACCTGCACACATGGAAGTTGGTGATGCCATGGTTAGAACTCCCTTACCTTGGTTCAGTCAGATACGAGAACTATGAAGTTGATCAGTGTTGGGCCGAATCGGGTAGCCATACATCGTTTGTTCCCGGGGGAGAATTTGAGAAGGGCATGTTTTTTGAAAGTAAGAAAATGCTTCAATTCAGAAATGGTGAAGATGTATTCTATATAGAGGAATCAATTCTACACCACAGTGACCTCGAATGAGAATGTCCTTCATCTGCGGTGCAAGAAGAAATGTAGTTGGTCGCTACGGGGTACTAAAACAAGTGAGCACTCGCGTGGCTTTACCCTAGTCACATACAAAGGCCCGCACCGGGAGAATTGTGTCAGTGAAGTACTATCTACTGATCACCCACACTTGGATTCGTCCATAATATCTGAGTATGTGAAGTCCTTTGAGCAGAAAGATCCGTCCTTGAAAGTTGAATTCATACAGGATCTCATCTCCAAGCAATTTCATTTTGATGTTCCGTATCGAAGAGCATGGTATGTCAAGGAGAATGCTATAACTTAAATATTTAGGGATTGGGAGAGTTCTTACGGCAGACTTCCGCACTTCATGCAAGCACTCCAACAGTCAAACCCGGGAACCATTGTTATATGGAAACACAAACCTCTAGTGGATGGTTTATACTACAGCAACATGGAAGTGTTTGAACGAGTTCGGTCCTTGTATCGATGGTTTTAAACATTGTATGCCTGTTATCTGTATTAATGGGACGCACTTGTACGAGAAGTATAAAGGAACACTGTTGGTTGCTATAAGTGTGGATGCAAGCTTCCAAGTATTTCCGCTAGCATTTGCGTTGGTTGAAGGGGAAAACCCTTCGAGCTAGTCTTGGTTTCCGAGCTGCATTCGAGTTTATGTCACACAGCGAGATGGCCTCTGTGTTATATCTGATCGACATGTTGGGATCATTGCAGCAATGAATGATTCTAACGTTGGATTCAATGAGCCGCGAGCCTATCACAGGTTTTGTGTTCGCCACATGGTTTCTAACTTGAAAACTCACGTGCGAAGCAACGACATGAGAGATATGTTCAAGGATACTGCGTACCAACGACAAGAAAAAAAACTGCAAGCTGATCCGTGTTCGATCAGTCAGGCATGTACCAAGGCCATAAAGTATATTGTCCAAGTGTCGTTTCCTATGTGGTCTTTGTTTCACGGCGTTGGTCGCAGATATGGGATATGTACTACAAACTTCTCTGAAACATTTAACAATGTGTTGAAGGGAGCTCGGTTTCTACCGATCATGTCCCTTGTCGAGTTAACTTTCCACAGAGTTAACAGGTATTTCACTTTAAGAAGGGAATCCTCTGAGGCTAGGTCTAAACAGAGACTTGCATACCCCCCCTAAGGTCATTGCCATTCTGGAGAAGAACACCACAAAAGCAAGATATCACAGAGTGGATGCGTATAACCGCCGACTGCATATATATCAAGTTACAACAGAAAGGGGAGATCGACTTGGTAGAAAAGGAGGTCATAAACATTCTGTTAACTTTCAGTTGAGAACGTGTACATGCATCAAACCACGGGACTGCAGTGACTGGACTTGCGTTAGTCGATCCTCCTGGTTTGGTAGCTCGGGTTCTCGGGGTTCAGCTAGGTAGTGACAATATCAGGGGCTCCGGGTTGAGGACCGGCTGGATACGCGAGACTTTTCGTGTGCTGCTTGCGGACGCTGATGACGCCACGGTTCAGAGACACGCTCGAGCATACCTGTTCCTGCTCATCTCGGGCATGTTGTTCGGCAACAAGAGCGGGAGCCATCTTCAGCTTATTTACCTACAGCTGTTAGACCACGACTGGGATCATATCCGTGGCTACAGCTGGGGTAGTGCCCGTTTGGTGACGTTGTATCGCCAGCTGTGTAGAGCATCCAACCGTGGTTCTGGTGAGATCGGGGGTCCTTTGATTGTGCTTCAGGTAACTCACCTACTTATCAACAATTTAGTTTGGAAATTACTTACCTAATTTATACTTAACCTAGTTTTGTATTTTTATATTACAGTTATGGGCTTGGGAGCACATCCATGCAGACAGACCAGGTAGGCCTGTTATACATCGTCAGGGGCAGTAGGACCAGGACCAGCAGTACCAGGCGTACGTTGCTCCATCGCTCCCTACACCTGACGAGGCGTACAGTTGCAGGATTGTAACAATTGTCATTATTTTAGACCTCATACAGTTTTATTTTACTAGTTGACAAACTAAAACATTTTTTGGTATTAGGTGGGTGGTCCCCAACTGACACATGCGCATGCGGCGAGGGGTATTCCGTACTACCGAGACGCCCTTGACCGACTCACCGAGGATCAGGTGGTAACTTAAAAGGAATTTGTAAACATTTATTTAATATGTATACTGTTTGTGCACTAACCTATTTACGGTATTACTTTTGATGTGTTATTGCAGGTGACATGGGATCTGTATGTAGCTGACTTAGTTGATGCCATGCCTGCTCATCTGCTGGATCATCAGGCAGAGTGGCGTGCCAGGACCCCCATGATCTGTTTCGAGGTTGTGGAGAGTCACCTACCCGACTGAGTCATGCGACAGTTTGGACTACGCCGGCCTGTCCCTCAGCAGTACAGTGTGACACTAGTATCCGCTTGCACGACATTGACCGTCGGGGAAAGAGGGAGACAAACTAGTTAGTGTAGCATAGGCTTTACATTGACCTATGACAGCGACGGTTGGAGTTCGTCGTCGCCGGTGATCCAATCCAGGGCGTTATGGATCCTCACGATCTATACATGGTCTGGTACAGGTGTATTACACGGCGTTTCATCAACCCCACCTACACGCCACCATCCACCCACTACGATCCAGCCTTTGACGTCATTACCGGATATGTGAGTTTATTTAATTTACTTATTTTCATCAACTTTTAAATTTCTATGTCATACAACTGATTGATCGATGATTACTGCAGGCGGCGGATATGGTGGCGATGGTTGATGCACTATCAGACGCCTTGCAGATGGACCCACTAGAGCCCAGGTCGAGCGGGTGCGAGATATGGGCGTGGCTACCTTGTAGAGATATGGTCACAACTATTTTGTCCACCTGTGGGATGGTCATGGAGGCCACTCCGTCCATTCACAGTTCGAGTTCGGCTAGAGTAGCGGTGGAGGTGATCCTACGTCACCCAAAATCGCAGAGGATTACATCATCCACAGTTCTGCGCCACCCCTATTCCGGAGGACCCATTGTCCAGCCAGCAGACTCCGCTACCGCCCCCAGACCCATTTACCACCATTACTCATTACAGGCGGCGTCGTGTTAGGCAGAGGGACGACAGACAAGATAGAGAACTGTTACCCCAAATAAATGAGTCAAGGGGATAGTATTATCATCTGATTTATTTGTTGTAATCGGATTTTCTAATTTGTTGTATATAACACTTACATTATTAATATAATAAATGTTTTTTTGAATGAATCTGTGTGTGGTTTGAAGTTAATTTTCTTATTTGTCCAAATTGGACTTATGTCAGTCAAAATAGATCATTCTAAGGTGATACATCAAACACAAAACATTTGGGCTCTATAATGAGAAACGGGGTAGAAGCGATGGCCGATCGTGGTTAATGTGGTGGTTCATGGTGGTTGTAGTGTTGTTGGGGGTGGTTGGAGTGGTTTGAAGTGGCTAAGGGTGGGCGAAAGTGGCGGGAGGGGGTGGTTAGTGGTGGTCGATGGTGGTGGGGAGGTTGGGGTTGGTGGTGGGGGTGGTGGGTTGGGGGCTGAATTTGGAGTGAGGAGGCTGCTACAGTCTAGCAGAAAAAACGCTGTCTGGGATAGCATTTTATGTATATAAAAAAATTGTACATAAAACGCTGTCCCAGGCAGCGTATTATATACTAATTTTTTCCCCAACATCCAGTACATAAACCGCTGCCTGGAACAACGTTTTACATGTTGACTTCTTTTAAAAAAAAAATCAGGGTATAAAATGCTGTTCGAAACAGCGTTTTACCCTGAAAGCTTAGTTTGATAAATAATTTGGCCACAAGTCTACTTTAAAAAATAGTTTTGCAATTAAGCTTACTTTCGAAAAAACACTATTTTTACGTGTAATGGGTTCACATCACTTTTTTATTTGGGTTTTTCTAAGCTATGCCCCTAAGGTAGTCGAGTTTCTAAGGTGTACCCATGCTTTTTCAAATTTCTAAGTTATGCCCCTCAATTCACTACCATTAATGAATGGTACCCTCCTTGGGACTTTCACATCACCTAAAGTTAACTATAAGTTTAATAAAAAGATGATAAAAGGTTAGGAAATGATAGGAGAAAGAAATCTTAGCCACCGTATCCCTAATAACGAAAACCGAAGCCACGAAATCACACTCTCAATTAACTTTTAAACAACTAATAAGGGTACATTTTAGTATTGATAAGTAGTTGAAGGACACGGCTTAGAAACTTGAAAAAGTATGGGTACACCTTAGAAACTTGACTATTTTAGAGGTATAGTTTAGAAAAACCTTTTTTATTTTTATTAATCTTATATGTACTTTTATTATATTTTAATATTGTTATGTACTTCTCTACTTCCTCGATTAATTTTACTTAAATAAAAAGACGACGAAGTAACAGCAAAAACAGAAGAATAATTGGTCCACGTCCTGAGTGGGTTCCAACATGTCACGATATAATTGGGTACAAAGTCGAAATGTTACGTGGCTTGAGAAGATAGCAGAAGTAAAAGGCGCTTGGGTTCTCCAATACTGAATTCCTGAATCCTGAGGTCAAAGTTCCCGGCGGTTAAAAATCAAAGCACCGTGGCTCACTCAAGCCAACAATCTCAGTCTCTCTCCCGGAGAAAGTCTTCCGCAACCGCCACAACTTCATCATCATCTTCTTCTCCGACTAGGATCGTTTACCGAGAGAAATTTCCAGCTGAATCTGAAGATTTGCCTTTTTGGCAGAAAACCTGGTTCATTCTTGTTTTGCTTGTTATGGCTTTCGCCTTCTTTGCCCTCGCCATCTTCCTCTTTCTCTCACTTGATTCCGACTACTTTGCCTCCGCTGTCCCTGCCTCCGAGGGTGTAGAGGTCTCTTTCCCTTCTTTTTAGGGTTTTCAAATACTGGATTTCTGATTAATTGGGGATCTGATTGAGGCTTAGCAAGATTGATTTTGACATTTACAGGTTACATATGGGTCTGTGATCAAACTGATGCATGAAAGAACAAAGTTCAGGCTGCATTCACACGATGTGCCGTATGGTTCTGGAAGTGGTCAGCAATCAGTTACTGCTTTTCCTAATGTTGACGATTCCAATAGCTACTGGGTAATTTCTAACCTGCTCTTTCATTTCCATTTTTCTTTTTTCTCTTGCCTCCCACTCTTACCTGCTGTTTGCCTAGGTTGTTAAGCCTGTACCCGACACGCCTGCAAAGCAGGGTGACACCGTCACAAATGGGGCAATTATCCGCCTGCAACACATGAAGACTCGTAAATGGCTACACAGTCACCTCCATGCATCCCCTATATCAGGGAACTTAGAGGTATAATTGTTTTACTATTTTAATGTCCCCATTTGATTAATTACTACATGTTTCGCCTGTAATTTATCTATGCTGCCTGGAAAACAAATTAGATTATGATTTCAGTGCTATGCCAACACTTTTTGTTATGTGACATTCACTTTCAGTCTTCAGGGTTCTCATTTCATGTTTATCAAATTAGATTATTGATTGACAACTTATGTAGTAGGTGCAGGCATTAGTGATTATTAAATATGGGGATATAGCATTAACTTCTAATCCTATTCGATTGCTTTAGGTAAGTTGCTATGGGGGAGATTCAGTCTCAGATACAGGGGATTTCTGGAAGTAAGGCTCAAAACTGTGTTTTACTCTTTGTTGTTGTTGTTGTTGTTGTTGATTACTCTATCTGATGTTTCCTGGTAGACTTGAAATCGAGGGAAAAGGGAAGATCTGGAAGCAAGATCAGAAGATCAGGCTTCATCACGTGGACACTGGAGGGTATCTGCACAGCCATGACAAGAAATATCAGCGCATAGCTGGAGGTCAGCAAGAGGTAAGGATAGTTTTCTTTCTTTTCCCTTTCTGATGTTGTTTGCTGTTGAAGAGCTATGCTTGGATGAGTTTCTGGTAATGACCGGCTAGACATTAAATATAGCTATACTAAGATTTTGCCATCTTTATTAAAAATTATCTTAATTAACAATTATTTATTAAAGGACCATTATTTCTTTCATGAGTATATGTATCAGCCCCTTTTTAATCATAATTATTTCTTTCATTACTATTCAGCCATCTTAAACATTTGCTTACCTACTTTTTACTAGTCAAACAATTTCTCCAAAACGTTTTCCCTTTGTAGTATCATCTGTATAAAGTTACGAAGAATTCCTTCAACTCTTTGATACTTCATCATATGCTAGATTGTATTGTGACGGGCATTAATTAAGCTATCACTTTTTTTTTTAAAAAAAAACTCATCATGATCACATTCGATTCTGTTAGCACCATTCTGGTTTGAATTTTGGCTATACAATATTACAATGTAGGAAACATAGACTTCTGGCTGAATATTGAAAAAAAAAAAAAGAAACTCTATCCTGATATCAATGCTATGTTTGGAATTTGGATAGCAATTATGAAAGGAAATGAAGAGAAGGGAAGTATAAAGAAGGAGGAGGAAAGGAAGGGGAGGGAGAGTGTGAGCTTCTATTTTCTTTCCTAATCTTTCCAATGTTGGAAGGATTTGATATATTAAAGAAGGAAAATGGATCCTTCTAATTCCCTCCTCTTCCCTCTTTCCATATGCTATTTAAATAAGGGATGACAGTTCCCTCCCTTTCTCTTCTCTTCTTTTCCTTTCATTTCTCTTTATCCAAACATCGTGTAAAGCTTAAATGATAATCTGCATCTTTAGGAGCCCTTGGATTCGACATTGTTTTTACCCCCTATGGCCTTGAGCACCTTTTAAATTCTTATTATTGTATTGTGGTGATTTGTGACATTTATTCTGTGCAGGTTTGTGGTGTCAAAGAGAAGAGCCGGGACAATGTTTGGCTTGCAGCAGAGGGTGTATACCTCCCAATCAGTGATGGAAAGGCAGAGTCATCTTAGTTTTCTTCACCCAATTAACCTCATTAGTATTACTCAGGATCCACTCTATTGATGCTCTGAAGCGAATTTTGAGTTGGTGTAGCATTGCTCTCTTATTTATGTTGTCTGGAACGTATAGGTGAGTAGGACTGATGTTTTTATAACAGGAAAGGCTACGATACTTGAAGCTCTTTGGTTGATGATGTATGTGTTATGAAGTGTAAGAGGGGCTAGTTTCATCTATAAACTTTTCAAGAAGGCCACAGTTTATTGTTTTTAACACTATATTTTTAGCATCTATACTTTTAAAAGTAATAGTCAAATTGCTCTATTACCTTAAAACTGAGGTGGTTGTTATTTATCAAACTTGAAACTTCCCTCAAGTTACATTCATTTACTTCTCCCCCCTTTTCCCTTCGCATTGAGTACCAGTATGGGATACGCCATGTAGTCGTTTTTTCAGTGGAGAAGAATTGAACTTCCATGCTGCTTCTTGAGCTACTGGTTAAACATGGCTGTTTGACTCCGTTTAATACTTTACTCGATATACTTTGCAAATCGAAAAGGGTTGGAAAAGCGCATAATCTGTTTAAGCTATTAACAAATGGACTCCTAGAGCTTTCAATAAAATACTTTAAATAAAGGGAAATTATCAATAATACACCCCAAGTTTTGACTTTTATCAATGGTACACATCATTAAATTTTCATTATCAGTGATACCCCTAAACTTTTACCTTTTTTTTGAAAGAAAGCAGGGAGTGCATTAATTCATAGAAAGAGAGTCTAACAGTACATATGGGGATATCTCATCCGGAAAAGAGAATTCCCACAAATTTTCTAGACTACTCGACACTAACCTTGCTAGATGATGGGCCACAAAATTCCCGTCACGTCGTACATGAGACCAAACTATAGATGAAAAAACTGAGCTAGCAGAAGAAATATCTTCTAACACCCCATCAACAGCAGCAAGGCCAAAAGACCCCTTCTTCATCTTCGTGATAAGCACAAGGGAATCAGCCTCCAAGATAATATCTCTTATACCTTGCGTTATAGCTTTCTTGATTCCGAACAGGGCTGCCATAGCTTCAGCAATCATTGGCTCCCAATTTGCGCGAATTCGTTTGACAGTCGAGAAGAGGATGCAGCCCCTACTATCTCTGGCAACAGCACCCAGCCCCACCCATCCATCCTCTGATAATGCCGCATCAACATTCACCTTTACAAGGCCAGAGGGAGGAGGTTCCCACTTTGTTCTGCTGGCTGGGACAAAGATCAGAGGGTTCCTTCCATAAATTCGTTCTACATACTCTCCAAAATCAGTTACCAACCTGCTATGCCTGAGAAGGATGATTTCATCCGGGTCCCATACCTTTTCAAATACCCATTTGTTGCGACGATACCAGATGAGCCAAGTAAGGAACAAGCATTTCTGAAAAACTTCGGCCGAGAGATTGCTTGCCCATTCTAACAACACTTCACCAAAGGATTCTGATGAGGTGAAAGAAAGGGCCTCAAGACAGCCACTCTTCCTCCATAATTGGTGTGATTTCGGGCATAGGATCACAGCATGAATGGCTGTTTCAGGCCTCAGCTCGCAGCAGGGGCAGTGAGAGTCCTCTAAAAGGTGCATGTGTGCTAGAAGGCTTCGAGAAGGTAAAGTATCAGAACAACACCTCCATAGGAAATGGCAGACTTTAGGAGTAATCCGTGCTTTCCATAGTTCAACCCAGAATTTCTCAAAATTGTCCAATTCAAGTGATTTTCCCAGAGTGTATGTAGACTTCACTGTGTAGCATCCATCTTTCGACCAAGCCCAGGTTAGAGCATCATTGGGTAGGCGTTCACTAATCGGGATGGCTAGGATTGCTGTTTTGTCTCGATCATTGAAAATGCTTTCGATCTTAGTCAAATCCCAGGCACATTTTTCTCGATCAATGAGTTCCTCTACTGTCAAACAAAGGTCCGTCCTACTTTCTGTAGTTACAAATCTGCTTTCATCATCTATAAGCCAAGGATCTGACCAGACGTTGATACTATGCCCATTCCCAATTCTCCATAGCAAGCCTTCCTTCACAAGAGCTTTAGCACTCCATAAACTTTGCCAAGAGTAACTCGACACTAGGCTTAAAGCAGCCTCAAAAATCGATATCCTGGGGTAGTATTTGGCTTTGAAAACCCTGCTCACCAGGGAGTTCTCATTCGTTGCTAAACGCCAAAGTTGTTTGCCTAGTAAAGCAATATTGAACACTCCCATGTCTCTGAACCCCATACCCCCTAGGAACTTAGGTTGACACAAAGCCTCCCAACTTTTCCAATGTATCTTCCTGCCCTTCTCATTAGACCCCCACCAAAAACGTGCCATCATGGCGTGAATGTCTTGGATGAGAGTGTTCGGGAATCTATAAACCCCCATCAAGTATGTCGGAATGGCTTGGACTATAGACTTGAGAAGGATCTCTTTACCCGCTCTTGACAAAAGCTTTTCCTTCCATCCTTGTATCTTCTTCCAAATTCGGTCCTTCACAAAGGCAAAGACCGTTTTCTTTGATCTTCCCACCACGGTCGGCAAGCCAAGGTATTTTATGTGGATGTCCACCATTTCCATCCCAAGAATGGAGCTAAATGTGATCCTTCACGGAAGATTAACCCCTTTGCTAAAAGACACCTCCGACTTCTCTAAATTGATTTTTTGCCCGGAAGTTGCTTCGTATTTGTTGAGTATATCAACAATAATTGAACATTCCTGTCGAGTGGCTCTTGTAAACAAAAGGTTATCATCTGCAAAGAATAGATGAGTAATCTCCGGACCATTTCTACCCCTAAACTTTTACCTAAATTACAACAGTAAGCATGACGTTAAACAAACGTTAATTATCCTTTGTTTTGGGTCTGACTTTCGTTGACTAAAATGCACCCCCATTCATTACTCCTCCCTCCAAGCCCAACCAACAGCATTAAGTACAAAAAAAAAAAAAACGATCGTTCATCTTCTTCCTCTCTCCCCTGTTCTACTTCTTCTTCTTTAAACCCTTGACGCCCTTTTTCTTCTGGTTTGACGCAAAATTCGTGGAATTTCAGCTACATTGTGTGGATTTTTGATAATTAAAGGTTAGTGCTTTCTTGAATTTTGGATTTTGTTAGTTTAAATTGTTAGGTTTAAATGAATATATGTATACTTGTGTAGTTTGTTGTTGGATTTTGCTCTTAATTTATCTCGATTTCCATATGATCATATTTGTGTGCTAAATTTTGTATTTTTTTTGTTGGATTATGCTCTTAATTCGATGAGATTGTCAGTGAATTTGCATGGTACAGTGCAGTGGCGTCACCAGGATTTTCGAAGTGTGGGTTCGAAACTTCCGAAATTTGAAATCATAATTAACAAAGGAATAAAAATACAATAATTAAATATTCAGTACATAAATAATTTCAAACTATGGATTACAAATAGATTACACATAGAAAAATGAAAAAAAAAAAAAAAAAAAGCTATAACCGATAAAATCTGATCAAGCTAATACAATGGCAGAGAAGCAACACATTAAATAAATTACAAGTTAACATTAAAAAAAAAGCTACAATATTCTAATTAGCAAGTAAGCATTACATTGCACATATACTATTTAAACTGAATAAGCTACATACTATCATTGTTATAGAGTTAAAATATGGATTCAACTAGTCAAAGAGGCCAACAATCAGCACATATTAACTTAATGACGGAAAAATAATGATAATGGCCATGATATTTCATTGTATCCTTTCACGCATCGCTAGAGCTTAAGGACTTAACCCAATACATGGATCAACATCCCACCTTACATTTATTTCTCATTTGATAAGTTGCCAAACTAACCAAATAGGGATATTAAGTTCAAGTAGCTAAATATTATCGTTTCACTATCGAAGCTTTTCTCATTCTGATTGCTCACTTAGATTATTGTAGCAGATTACTGTCGTTAGCTATGGCTTGACAGAATTCTTATGTGCCGACAATAAAAATGTTCAATTCAATGTAGCTTAGTTAGAGTTAAATTGTGTAGTAGATTCATGTCACAGGATTAATTTCAATTTTTTATATATAATTAATCAACAATACAAAACCATCACTGAACTCAAAATTATACAAATAAAATTATCAAAGAGTGTTCGCCAAACATCACTTAACTCAAAATCATGCTTCAAACACAGAATAATTAAAGGCCAAATTTTCACGATTGAATTAAAAATTAGCATATATTAAACATAACAATGTAAATAAATTATCTCTAAGATCTATAATATTCATCAATCAAACCCATATCAACGAAATAGCAAATGAAATTATGAAAACTAGAAGGCAGAAACGAAATACAGAAAATAGCATATGAATTGGCAGAAACGAAAGGCAGAAAATAGCATAGCATATGAAAATAGCATACGAAATACAAAAAAATCCCCAAATTGAGAACTTGAGAAGTAAATTAGATAATTATATCCAAACTTCAGCAATTTACAAAACATTGGCAATTCGTAAATCGTAATGTATATTAGCAATTGAATTTAGCATATGAATTTCAATTTTCAAGTATTCAATGATTTAGCAAAAAAAATCCCCAAATTGAGAAGTAAATTACATTTGCAAAAAAAAAAAAATCCCCAAATTCACTTACCCCTACATACACCGATACACCATACACGGCTGTGAGGCTGGGTCTGGGTGAGTGGCTGGTGCGCTGCCGGCCTGCCGCTGCCGCCGTGTTCTGCTGACTCTGCTGCCGTGCTGCGCCGGGAAGAGAAGGAGGAAGAACGGGAAGAGATTAAGAGAAGGAGGATTGGAGGAAGAAGTTAGGGTTTTGCAATTTGGGGGAATGAGGAAGAGGAAAGCGAACTCTGGAAGCAGGAAAGCTCAGTGCTCAGGAAACAAAATTAAAAAAAAAAAGTGTGAGTTATGGGTTTTGAACCCACAAACTCTTGTGTGATGGGAGGTAAAAATAACCACTGGGCTACAACTTTACTTGTTGCCATATAATACACAAATATTCTATTTAAACCTATTTTGATTTTTTTTTTTTTTAAAAAAAAAAATTTTAAATTTTTTTCAAAAAATCAGTGGGTTCAATGAACCCACTTGAACCCACCCTAGTTCCGCCCCTGGTACAGTGTAAATGTTGAACTTTGGTTGATATCTTGGAGGTTCACAGTTGCAATTCATGCCTTTGAACCAATCACCTCTTCCATATACACTAGTTGAAGATGAAGCCCTGCCAGATGATGCCATTGATTTTCCAGAAGGTGAAGATATGGAATCAAAAGAAGAAAAAAAAGCGTGAATGTAATTAAAGGGGAAACAGGAAGGGTGTATAAGTAGGCAAATTTCAGAAAAAAGGAGGGAAATTGGAAGGGAAAATTGGAAGGGAAAATTGGAGGGAAATTAGATGAGAGGGGCAATGAAGTATTTTCACCTACCTAACCTTTAAAACGCTTAAAACAAAGGATAATTAACGTTTGTTTAACGTCATGCTTACTGTTGTAATTTAGGTAAAAGTTTAGGGGTATCACTGATAATGGAAGTTTAATGATGTGTACCATTGATAAAAGTCAAAACCTGGGGTGGATTATTGATAATTTCCCTTAAATAAATTTTAAATATAATTAAAATATATTTATAAAATTTATAAAAACATACGTAGAAGATAACTTAGATGCAAGGGCTACAATTTCCTTAACTACTTAAATGTCATCTTAGACATTAAAAAAACTCTTTTATTTTCATCTTATAATATATCTCTTCGCCATTTACTACATACCTATGTGAACTTACGGGGCGTTTGGCAAGTGGGAATGAGAATTTGGGATTTTTTCACTTTTATCAAAAAAAAAAAAAAAAAAAGTTTTTTACCACCAAAACTTCTAAAACTTTTATTTTACCACAAAAAATTCTAAAAATTGTCTTTTACCACCTATGTCAAGAAAACCGTTAAATCTAACAGTGCTAAAAAAAATTATTCGATTTTCGTATGCAAAACATGTTCTTTATAGGTTTAGGGAGGCATTTTGGCCCTACAAATCCAATTTGAGGTCAGAATTGACAAAAAATGATCGAAAATGCCTCGTTTTGCATGTTTCATGCAAATCGAGGTATTTTTTCGTAGGAAAAACGAGCCATTTACGAACGTTTTTTTAAATTCTAACCTTAAATTGGACCCATAGGGCCAATATGCTCCCTAAACCCCTCAAGAGCATGTTTTTGACACAAAATTCAAACAATTTAAAAAATTCCGTTAAGTTTACAAAAATTTCTGATGGCAGGTAGTAAAAATTAATTTTTAAATTTTTTTGGTGGTAAAATAAAAGTTTTGGTGGTAAAAAACATTTTTTTGTTCTTTTTTTGGTGGTAAAAGTCAAAAAAATCCTTTATAGTTGGGAATTCAATAAAATATTGACAATCCCTTGTTTGGGTTATGAAGGGAATTAATTGGGAGTAAAATTGCAAATTTACAATAACACCCTTACTAATATATATCCTTAAACATTCATTAATGGCAAAGTGGTCTTTTCCTCTTTATTCCCTATTTCAATCTCTATTACTTGCCTCCCTAGGTAATAAAATCATGAGAATAGAGCAATTTTATTCCCATTTCCAATCCCACCTACAATTCCCCTTCTCACAAAACAAACAAGGCAATATATACTCCTACCCCTCAATTCCCATTCCCAAGCCCCAATTCCCACATACCAAACACCCCTTTATGCTATTGTATGTACTACTATCTTTTCAAATGTATCAATGAATAAAAGTAATAGCACAATATCTATTCTCTATTCTCTTAAACTTATTTTTGTTGAACTATTTTTTTTTTTGAAGGATTTTTGAACTAAAATTCTTTTTACAGAATTGAAATTATTTTGTTGATTTAAATTATTTTTACTAAATTGAAATAATTTTTATTGTTTAGATCTTATTTTTATTGAAATGAAATTATTTTTGCTGAACTAAACTTATTTTTACTGAACTTAAATTACAGAACTACACTATTTTGGAGAGCCGCTTGACAAATAATACAAACAAATTTGTTGACACATGCACTGATGCAAAAGTGTACTCCCTCCGTCCCAGAATAAATGTGAAGTTGGACTTTTTTCACTATTTATGTATTAGTTTTGACCATAATTTTTTACTAACATAATAAAAACATATTTATCCCTCACTCTCTTAAATTTTAATGTTGTAAAAAAATAAAAACCTTAGCTTTGTACTAGAAATCAATTACTTGTTTCCTCCAAAAAAAAAAAAAAAAAAAAACAGAGAAATCAATTCTATGTACATTAATTTTTTTTTTTTTTTTTTTGATCGGTAAGGAGAAGGACTCTATCTGGCCGGAACTCTCACAAGTTCTCCCGACTTGGGATAGCAGGTTAGACAGTTTGAGAATGAGGGAAGGATAAGGGAATCCCACCACCAAAGTGCCTCTAATGGGGTTTGATCCTACAACCTCTTGGTTGTGAGATACAAACTTACCACTAGACAAACTTGACTTGGTATTACAATTGGTATGTACTCCATACTACGTATATGTTTCACAACTATGTACCGAATACAATGTTTTTTTTTTTGAAAAAAGATTGGATTTTTATCAAATTCCACAAAATACACACGAATTGAAAGAAAAATAAAGTGGTGTCAATTGAATATCTAATGAAGGAATTAAAATAAGGTTTGAGTTAAAAGAAGTATTTGTTTGGTGTGGCATCTGTTGAAGTTGGAGGTTTGCAGGAGAGGGCCCTTTGTCCTCTCTTTTTCTCTCTCCTCTGTCTCGGTCTTTGTTCCTGTGGGTCTCAATTTCTGGAATTTTCATCAAATTCCTAATTAATTCCCAGAGTAATTGATAAAGTTGTTATCTTTTTAGACCACATTTTCAAACCCTAATCTCTTTCTCTCTCTAGATCCTTCAGGTTCTCTATATTCGCCAATTCATTTACTTTGTACGACTATTTCATTCTGATTTTCGTTTTGTTTACTGATTCATTTCTTTGTTTTGGCAGATCTTATCAATTCTGAGAAGGCTGGGGATTGAATTGGGTATGCTCAATTCTTTAATTGCTGTTGTAATCAGTTAATGAAATGTCGCTTCTTCCGAATAGCGATTCAATTCACATTAGAGAGGTCTGGGAAGATAATCTGGAGGATGAATTTGGTTTTATTCGTGATATTGTAGACGATTACCCTTTTGTAGCGATGGATACTGAGTTTCCAGGTATTGTCCTTCGACCTGTCGGTACTTTTAAGAGTAGCTCTGATTTCCACTACCGTACTCTCAAGGATAATGTCGACATGCTGAAATTGATTCAATTAGGCCTCACCTTTTCTGATGAACTTGGTAACCTTCCAACTTGCGGTACTGATAAATTCTGCATTTGGCAATTCAATTTCCGCGAATTCAACCTTAATGAGGATGTTTTTGCCAATGATTCTATTGAGCTTCTCTGTCAGAGTGGCATCGATTTCAAGAAAAATAATGACAAGGGTATTGATGCCAAGAGGTTTGGTGAGCTTTTGATGTCTTCTGGTGTTGTTTTGAACTATAATGTTCACTGGGTCACTTTCCATAGTGGTTATGATTTTGGTTACTTGCTTAAGCTCCTCACTTGTCGCAACCTCCCTGACACCCAGCAGGAGTTCTTTGAGATGATCAAGACCTATTTCCCTACCGTTTATGATATTAAGCACCTCATGAAGTTCTGTAACAGCTTACATGGTGGCTTGAACAAGCTCGCTGAGTTGTTGGAAGTCGAAAGGGTTGGTGTGTGTCACCAGGCAGGTTCTGATAGTTTGCTTACATCTTGTACATTCAGGAAGTTGAAGGACAATTTCTTCAGTGGATCCATGGAGAAATATGCTGGTGTTTTGTATGGACTAGGTTTTGATAATGGTCAAAGTGTTCACTAATCAGGAGAACTATCAAACTTAATGTCCAATTTCCATGTAGCCATTTTGTGTACACTTTTGGTAATATCAGCTTTATAATCAATTTTTGATTTATAGAGTTTTGTCATACCTGTGCTCTGCTGATCATAACCACCCCCCCCCCCCCCCCCCCCCCCCCCCCCCCCCCCCCCCCCCCGCGTTCTTCTACCGACTGCACTTTCTTTCTCTCTGTGTTCAACGCTTTACAATTCCTTATCTGCTTGTGATTGTAAAATAGAGGTAGCTGGCAATCTTAATGTGAATTTCACACTGCCTTATTTAAAATGTAGATACTTAATCGACTGATGATGTTCTCTGATAGTGCTCAGCATTTATTGGATGACGCTTGAAATATTCCTGCTACATCAGTGCTAAAATAGACATCTGTTCTTATGATTCTTCTTTATAGTTTTTGACTAAGAAAGATGTTTGAACATCCGTCAAGGCCTTCTTTCCAGTCTAACCAGAGTGGGCACCTGGCAAGTCTGATCAGCAGGCCCTGCTTAAAATGTTGCTTCTGTTGGTCATTGTTCAGTCCAACAAGAGTGGGTGGGTAGCTTCTATGGTTCTTGGGTGGATGGGGATGGCAAACCACTGATGTTTGTTAACAGGGCTACCTTAGATCAACTTTGTGCGGGATTTAACAAGCCAAGGCACTACCTAGGACCACTAGAAAGTGGATGAGAGGTTATTCCTTTTGCTTGTAATAAACTTCTCGACACAGATCTTCTCCAAGTTGGCAAAGAAGACTCCATCGTTTGGAACCATTCTAGGGACTGTAGTTATACAATCCACAGTGGGCACCAGAGACTTGGTCTCAATGCTTTTCAGGAAGGGGGCCTTTTTGCCTACGATGTGGCATTGGGACTTTTACTGAGCTTACTGGGAGGGTTAATTACCAATGAAATAGGACCTGAAAGATTCTGATCAGCGGAACTGGTAAGTCTTCCTATGGAAGGTTCACAATAATGCTTTGCCTCTCGGATTTGAGCTCCAAAATAGAAGTGCAACTTAAACTACGAGTACTACATATGTTGTTATCTCCTCCTCTCATATTCACTTTGTTTGATACTCTTTCGTCTCTAAAAGTTTTTCCTGTTAATTTGCGCGATAGAAGCGATACAAATTTTGGTATTAATGAAACCCAGAAATGGTTTAGACTTGAGGTTTTTCCGTTTCCAAAACCCGAGCTGTTTCTGTGCTACATACATTAAATCTTGGATATGAACATAGTTTTGGAGTTTCTGTTAAGTTGTTGAGAAGTTAGAAGATTAATTATCAATTGAGGTTTGTGGCTGTTATTGTTAGCTGAATTATTGTAATTTTATAAATTATTAATCAATATGGTTTGCAAGAATTTTAATACATGGGTAATGGAAGATGAGTGATTCATGGAAAATGGAAGTAAATTTTGTTATTCTTTCATTTGATTGGTAAGCCAATTTCTAAGGATTATGTCTGCAATAATATTTAGTCTATGACTTGTTTTAAAAAAAAAAAACTAAGTGAAACAAATGATTGGCAAGTTGTATTTTGTGTGATAGATGAATGAGGGATGTATTAACTTCCTAGGCGCTTTGTAGGCAAGCAAGTTCTTATGTTTCATGAGATTGATGACGTGGGTATTGGAAATGAGATAATTAATCCTTCTTTTTCGGTATGCCATGGAACTTGAAGTTCCCATGGACGCGTACATTTGAACAAGCAAGGGTGAATTGGAATATTGTTCGTGTAATACGTTGTATGTTATATGTTAGAAGTTGTAATATCTTATTCTTGGAATTCTTGGAGTGGCCTCAACACTCAAGAGTTTGTGAGACAAGGAGAAGATTGTTTGTGTGTCAGGACTAAGATAATGAGCTCCATAAACTGTACAAAGATATGAATAAGGATTGTGCATTTTGAGATGCTGGTCAAGTTCTTTTAAAAGATATTTGAAGAGTACCTATTTTCAGTATTCTATCTTTCTGTTTTAGTTCATTCAGCATCTAGGTATTATTAGTTATTGACATCTCAACTTGTTTTCAGCGGATCCTTCGGAGAAATCTATTGAAGTAATGAGGAAACTCTCTGAGCAGTTCTGTCGTAAATCTGATACATACTTTTGTGTTGATAAAAGTGCCACTGCTGTTGTTATCAAGGTAAATGTTGCCTTCTTATATTTCATGTTTGCTCTTGCTTGTTTATGTGGTACTTCTTTCACAATTATATTTGTGTAGATGTTGTCTATTTAAGAAGATAATTATTACCCTATGGAAACCACATAAGAATTGGGTGGTAAATTTAATACGTAGTATGTTTGTTGAAGGTTTTATAATGTTAGGTAGAGCTTGCTTCCAATATGAACGGATTGTCAATCAAAGATGCCATGCCATCATTGCCACGTACTCATGTAGATTGTAGATTATGAGCCACTTCCAATAGAGTCAACTTAGTGTGTGCAATATAAGAACATCCAAGGAAGCCATTAGCCACCTAATATAATTGTATTTCTTGTCAAGAAATGTAACTAGGGATCTTGAACTATATTTGGTGTTTCAATAAAGATCTGACAATTTTTTCGATGCTGCTTATTGTTTGTACTTTAGATGAGCTACCTAAACGACCATCATAGAAAAACGAGAATGTATGAATTTTTTTAGAAGTAATTCATACAAATTGGAGGAGTATATGTCAAAAGGTTTGTTTCATCTATCTGGTCAGATATCTGTTGGGGAAAAGAATAATTCCTGGTCTGATATGTAAAATTCTCCACAGGCCCACTGCTTCTTGTTCTGCAATTTAAAACTTTTATGTAACTTTCCTGCTTGGATGTTTACAGGGATTAGCAGAACACAGGGAAACATTAGGTGCCCCCCTATGTCCATGTCGGTGAGTACTGTTACTTTTCACGGAGCTTTCCTACTTTCTCACAAGATTGTTTACATTTTGATGTTAAAAACAATTCTACTGTGCCTATAAGGCTATAAGGGAGAGGTATAATTCTCTTCCAAATCAACTTTTCTTGCAGATGATTCTGCATATAGTGATGCCTGCTTAACTTGTGGAGCATACATATGATTCTGTCATCTCCATTAAGAGTTAATAATACAGTAACTCAAGACGCTTCAATTCTCATATTTTCGAGATACTGAGGTTGATAGTGGAGGGGTCAGAGGGAGATTGTACTTAATTATTACCCAAATTCCAATTTGCATCTGTGCAATGCAGAGTGAAGGGATTCAATGGAATTTAATTGTCAAGTTTGTAGCTTAAGGACAGACTAGCCTATAAACTGTTCAAGAGTTTGTAAGGATGTGATGGAGTCAGTTACATGCATGTGTGGTGACTCTGGTGGGTATTGTCAGTCTCTCTGCTTTATAACTTTTGAGACTGTTGGAAGCAAGTTATATAGTGTTGCGTTATGATACCTCTATGGCTCCAGCTCCAGCTCCACCTCCACCCTCCATTGAATGTTCAGATGTTCTGCATACTTCCAATCAGTGGCTATCGTGTATTCATTTTGAGCTAAGAGTGTCACAAATTGTATTGCTTTGAATAGGCAATTTCTGTATGCTCTGATTATGATTCTTATTTTTTGGCGAGTATTGTTAGTCAGTTTGTCTCTACTCTTAAGTGTGGTCATGGGAATATGGGGACCGAAGGCGATTAATTAAGTCTACCAAAGAGGTTTAAGTGAATTTTCCAGCATTCCTTTTTGAAATAGAATGCTGTAAGATGTCTAGAAGGACCAACTTCATAATGACAGTGGACAATACTCTGAATTGCTAACCTTGATACCTCCAATTGTTTTTTGATTAGCAGTAAAGTAGAAAGGAGCTTGATAATTATAGCTGTGTTGATTCATCATAGCCTGTTTTATGAGAGAATCTACTTCCAGTTCTTTTCCTACTGCCTTTTAATCTCCTTGGAAAAAATTATGATGATGAACTTCACTATTCCTAGTTTCCTAATTAAAAAAAATTAACCTTCAGGGACCGGCTTCCACATATTCACCAGCTAATTCATGCCTGCTAAACACTCATGACTTTTTCTAATATGCTGCTCTGTGTTTAAGAGGGTAATGTCTCAAAACAGTCAAACCAATTGTATCCCAAAGTGTGCTATGGACTGCTAATGGATTTGAGTTCATGTTATGCTGTTGTACTGAAGTTGTGCATATACTGTTCTGGGACTGACAAAGATAATCTGAGCGGCAAAAGCTAAGAAGTTGCTTCCAAACATGTGGTAACTGAAAGATATAATGCAAATATAGAAATGTCTGATCAGGGGTCTTCTTTTTGTGTCCTATTATAGGAGGGAATGGGGAGCTGGGAAGTGGCGGTCTATGCCTTTATGGTAGTTGTTGCTTGCAATTTACGTTCTTATGTTCACGTCTATAACTTAGAATACAATAAGGAAAGACTACCTTATTGGCTAATTGCTGCTCAACTGGCCATTATGTTACTCTAGGTGGCGGTGTTTATGTTTATGGCTACTCTGTGCCTATGTGGAATAGCCTTGTCATTCGATCATGATAATTCCTCGGGTTTTTTTTTTTTATTTTTATTTTTTATTTTTTATTTCTGTTTTATCTAACAAAAGGGCTCATAGCTTATAACTGAACTGGACAATTTTACAGGAAAGAGTGCCACTGCTTGCTATTCCTAACCCCTGACAATGATTTTGCTGGAAAGGATCAGGTTAGCCTAACATCCTAAATGCTCTTTTTCCAATAAGGCTTTTGTTTTCTGAATATGCTGGTCTCATCAAGATTTGGTGGTCTCATCAAGATTTCTTATAATCTTGCCATGTTGTTTGCAGACTATCACCTTGGATGAAATTCGGGAATTGACAGCAAATATGTGATTTTATGAACTGAAGCCTCTTATGCGTAGCCACAGTAGGCCTGTACATTACGTATTATCATGAGGATGCCAATAACTGTTGTACTGTTATGCTGTAATGCCTGTATATACTCTTATTTTGGAGAGCCTTGTCATCTCTAACTCTAAGCCTTATCAAGGTATATAGCCATACTCATGTATCTGAGTTTGTATTTGATTTTATGAAATCACATCACAGATTGATAGAAAAAGTCATACATCAATTATTCCAAAGTATATTTCTAAAGGGGTTATTACATTTGATAAAAATGTAGAAGCATTCTAAAGACTTGATCGAGTCAAGAACAATATTAATGCCATTCTTATGGTGTATAACCTAAAAAATGCATATTATTGATTTATTTGCATGTAGCCACAAACAAATTTGATGCAAGAGTTGGGAAAGAAATCTAAATCCTCTATTTCACTAATGTTTGTGTATTCTGAATAAGGAGTATTGTATAGCTAGGGTGAATCTTAATATCTAATCTTAGTACTACATTATTCATGGAACATAATAGCAACACATGATATATCATCAGGGCTTCTTAGCAACGCCTCCTTGACTAACTGCTATGCCGCTACTTGGGCATCATTGAGTTCTCTGATACAATTGCAAGCCTCTTCATTTGACATAACCCGTGCCAATATACAACACATTTAGACCACCAACATATCAGATCATAAACTATTTATTTCCTATATCAACCATTTCTGTATGACTGACTCACATTCCAGATTCCATCGCTTGCAAGTACTATGAACTTTGCATCTGCACCCACAGTCTCGATCCTTACATGGGGCTCACAAGAAATATGTTCCTTTAGTCTTCCATCACCGAATGCCCGTGTCATTGACAACACGCCATCTACACAACGAACGTTCCCTGAATTGATGAATGAATTCAGTCTTTATTTGCCATGTCTTACAAATAGGTAGTTTCCAATAATTATATGATGAAGGTGTACCTGGTCTTTGGGAGACTAAACCACCACCCTTTCTTTAACCAGCTCCTTTTCCTTTTCTGGTTCATGATCAACTGTAATCTGTTATATACTGTGTTTATTGCATAATATTCCACGGGAGTCACCAACATTCGCAACAATAAGTTTCTCATGGTTAATCAGGATAGCAGTTACTGACGTTGATCTGCCTCGTGAGCCTACCACTTTGTCTTTATAAGCTCTTTTGACAGCTGCTTCAGGAGCTTCCCAGAAATCTAGTTGCCATGTATAGATAGGACTTAAGAGTAGAGGGCATTGGAAAATTAAATTAAAAAAAAGAGTTATAAAATGCATAGTGATTGAGAGTGAGGAATAGCTCAAGTTGTTATAGCTTCCCTCTCGGTTTCAAGAGATCCTGAGATTTATTCTCACCCCCGCCCTTGTGGCTCTCTAAACACCAAAAAAATAAAATACATAGTGATATTATGTTGAATCCGGTGGAATCTCCGACACTAGATATAGTTTATGTCATTTACTGTACCCAACCCCCAAAGTTTGTGCTAAAGAAATAGAACTTTATTAGTACTTGATGCCATTGCTTTGAGTACATATCGATCATTTAATAAAGGAAATTTTGTATAAAACCACCTTTTTAAAACTTGTTTTTGTAAAAAACCACCTTTTAAAAAAATGTTGTGAAAGACCACCTTGTTTAAAAATTTTGTTGCAAAATAACACCACTTGCCGGAAAGTTGCCGTTGACCATTAAATTCCGGCGTTGACCCAGTCACGTGCGAAGCACGTGACTTTTAATAACCCATTTTTTTTTTCATTTATTCTTCGAATTTCCCGTACATTTTCTTTCTTTCTTTCTCTTTCTTTCTTTCGTTCCTCCATTGTTGTGTGTAAGGTTTATTTGTTCATTTTTTTTTCTTTATCTTTCTCTCCTCATTATCTCTATGTCCTTCTCTTTCTCCATCTCTTGTTTGCTAATTTCGAATTTTGAAATGCGAATTGGAATTGGGAAATGCGAAAATTAGGGTTTGCTAACTTCGAATTTTTTTTTGTACCACAGGATGTCTCAATCTCCAGTGAACAATTATAAGTGTGGGTGTGGCGTCCCAATTGCTCGGTTGAAGTCTTGGACTCATGAGAACCCTGCACGAAGATTTGAGGCCTGTAAATTTTACAACCCAGAAACGAATCAAAGGGGCTGCAAGTTTTTTCGGTGGGTTGATGAAGATATGACCAATTGGCAGCGCGACACCATTAATCAACTGGTAACTGAGAAGCAACTTATGAAAGGAGAAGTCAGCGTATTGCAAACAAGATTATGTTGCTTAGAGACTGAGAATAAGAGGTTGAAGGAGGAGTTTGAGAAACTGAAATTGAAGCTGAAGAAGTCAAAGAAGGGGCACAGTGAAAGCTTTGGAATTATGATAATGTTGTGTATAGTTGTATCTGTCATGTTTAGTTTCATCATGGTGAAATTGTTAGGTTGAATGAACCTGTATAATATGCTTAGTTGATAAGAAGTAGTATGAATTAGGCAAGCATTTGTAATGTGTTACATAAATCAAAGGATCATATTCAAATGTTACAGAATCTTACCTAAGATATGTTGATTTAGCTCATTTTAGGGTGAATTTGGATATTGTTATGACAAATTGATGATTGGTTGATCCTTGGTGGTAGTAAATGTGTATTTGAGCATTGCAAAGTGAGGGGACGGGGTTTTAATTTTGATAGAACTTATGTGATTTTCTTATTTTAGAGCTGATTTTAGTCACATACAACATCATAATTCCACACACAACCATAACAGCAGCCTGGCCCTGTAGCAATGCAGGATGATTGTAGCAACCAGGAAACAGACTGCAGGACATGCCTCCATCATTGCAGCAAGCAGGAAAAGCCACAGCAGCAGCCTGGAAGGAACTCAGGAGCATGCCATCCAATTCAGCAGTTGGTAGGGGCAGTCAGCCCTGACTAAGAAAGCATAACAACCACACCAACAGACAAGATAATTAACAGCCAAGTCACATACAGATCTGCACTTCACCAAGCAACTGCAGATCAGCTGGCTCAGCCAGCAACATCACAGAACAACCAAGCAGGCTGCAGGCAGCAATAACTAGTCAGCTGCTGAAAGCAACCCACCCCAGCAGCATCAGAACACAGAACAAGACAGCATAAGACAACCATAGCATAATAAATAGAAGCATTAGAAAACAGAAACATATGTAATAAATAGAAGGATAAGAGGCTTGTAGCTTTCATTAAACATCAAGCTTGAATTAAACCATAGTAGCAAATGTATGTCATAACAGAACATAGAATTTAAAACTTAAATATGTTCAATACATAATCCACAAAAGCTAGATATTACAGGCATAATAAACTCATGAAGTGGATGCTTGAGAGCTGATGACACTAGCAGAATTAGCTTGTTGCTTCTTTGAGGTAGATAGGCCCTTAGAAGATGCTGACCCTTTTGAAGCATTTGTTGGTGGTCTTTCCCTCTTTTTGCCAGACTTAGCAGCAACTTGTGTGGGGGTGTTTGTGGTTGTCATAGGTGTTGCTGTTGTTGCATGTGATTCTGGTAGTGTTAAATATGTTGATGAAGTTTTTCCAGCATAGATAGGTGCAACATTTTTAGTTCTACCACCCTTGTTTACCTCAACATTTGGAGGTACTTGGAGTGGTGGATTCTTGCAAGTTTTCTGATAATGCCGAGGCCTACCACACTTCTTGCATGTATTTTGCTTCTTAGGTCTCTGTACATAAGCATCCTCTCCTTCCCCTGGTTCCTTGATTCTCTTTTTCCCCTTAGGCCTGCCTGGTTGTTTCTTGAATGGAGGTGGCAAAGGTCCTGGTAATGCACTCCTTGGCCACTAATTTTTCCCTGGCATAGGGTGGAATGATGGGGCATATGTCTTAGCATAGGTTGCAACATGGTATGCTCTATGGACATAATCCTCCCACTTGTACCTTTGCATTGCTATGCAAGCCAATGCATGGTAACAAGGGATCCCCATTAACTCCCACCTGAAACAGCCACATGTTCTTGTTTGCAAATTCACCACATATGTCTCCCCAGTTGTTACATGATCTACCTCAAACTCATGCACATCTGCTCGAGTCACATCACACTTCTGTACTTCTTCACTTGCCCTTTCTATCATCCTCACCACTGATGGCATAATCTGACCATCAAACTTTGCCAGCCCTTCCCTTTTCACACATCATCTCTTCATTACCCACCTCCTTATCCATTCCATCATTCCCAAGATAGGCATAGACCTAGCTTCTCTAATGACATTATTGAAGCTTTCACAAACGTTATTGAGTAACATGCCAGACTTACAACTACTGCTGAATGCATGCCTTGACCAATGGCATGGTGGAATCTTGTTCAAATAATCAAAAGCTTCTTGTGATATTAACTTAATTGACTCCATTTGTTGGTCAACCCTAAACTGAAATAAAAAAAAATAGAAACCAAATAAATAAATGACTACAACTTATTACCCTTTTTCAGTACTTTTAAACATTAACAAGATCATAAAGGTTATACCTTTGTGGTTGCTCTTGCTGCCTTGTAGAAGTATTGCTTGAAAAGCGTCCCTGAGAATTTGAGTTTGAAGTTTGCCCATATATGTCTGCAGCAGAATCTGATTTAAGCTCTAGGTACAACTTTCTTGAAAACATCCAACAAGCCCTGTAAAATTAGCAAACTACCATTAGGAGTTACAATTAGCATAATTAGGCAATCAAATATGATAGTGTGCAATATAAACCTGACCTTCTGCCTGTCAGACATATATGTCACACCTGTATCTCCCACTCAAGTAGAATGCTGAGCAACACTACCTAAGTCTGCAACTAGTAACTCCAAAAACCATTCCCATGTTTCAGCATTCTCCACTTCAACAATAGCCCATGCAACAGGGAACAAGTTGTTGTTCCCATCCTTAGCTACTGCAGCCAAACATATGCCAGGAACTGGTCCCCTCAAGTGACAACCATCAAGTCCTAATATAGGTCTACAACCTGCCACAAACCCTCTTTGCAAGGTTGCAGACACACATACATCCTCTGAAATAGTGGGGGGGGGGGGGATGCTCAATGCCAGTGCACTTGACTACTGTTGTACTACCTGGATTACATGCCCTAATGGCTTCACAATAGTCCCATACTCTTTTATACTGCTCTGAAAAATCACCATGGATCATTTGCA